CTCCTCTTCGGCTAAGGAGGAGAGGCATGCCATGCTTCGGCGTTAGAGTAAGGCGCAGCACAGGGCTGTGCTGGTAACTTGGCGATATCTCGAAGCTAAACCTGTGGAGGATCATGGCCAGCGCAACCTTGGCCTCCATGAGAGCCAATCCTTGGCCGAAGCAAACCCGGGAGAAATGCAAACGGGTGCTTGGAGGCGTTGGCCACACCGTCAGCGAAGCGCTGTGGATTGAACTCGTTGGCATCTTCGCCCCACACTTCCTTGTCGTGGAGGATAGAGAGTATCGGCACGAGAACGCCGGTTCCCTCTGGAACCATCAAGTTTCCCAGCTTCGTGTCCTCCATGGCCGTACGGACCAAGAACACGGCCGGTGGATACAGCCGCAGTGTCTCGTTGAGCACCATTCCCACCTGGAAGGAAACGAGAACAGTGAGAACGAGAGGAGAATAGCAAGACTTTGCTCACGATCTTCGGGAAGACTCCCAAACTTCCAGTACCTCAGCTCGAGCACGCTCTTGCCAAGTCGGGTTTGTGGCGAGCAGCATCATCGCCCAAGTTATCAGCTTGGCTGTGGTTTCATGGCCTAAAGCATCGTCGCCCACGTCACCATGTCCCGTCAAACAGCGACTTGGGAAACGCTGCCAGCGTGGCATTCCACGTCACCATGTGGCGCTCCGGCAAACAGGCCCACGAGGGGCATCGCGCGGATCACTGTCGCCGACGACACCACGTCCAGCGCGGGCATCCGACGGTAGAGATCCCCTGCCGCGTCAATCTGCAACACGCTGCGATCATCGTGTGAGGTTTTTCTCTGGAATGGATTCGAACACGTGATACGCCTCTGCTAGATACCCCGCTTGGGCATAGAGAAGGGCATTCCAAGACACGGTGTTTTTCTGGGGTATGCTATCAAAAAACGTTTTTGCTTGATCTACTAAGTGTATGCTCTGATCATCGCAGTGAAAGACACAACGTCCCACTCGGGCATATCATCAAACAGTATCTTCGCTTGATCGAAACCGCCACCCTCGGCATAAGCAGATATCATGCAGTTACGCGAGATCAAATCCCTCTTGGGCATCTCGTCAAACGTCAGCCGAGCGCCACGCAAATCCCCGGACTGGGCGCGCGCGCCCATCACGGCAGTCAAAGCGATTGGGTTCCAGGAGGGCATTCGATCCAGAAGCGCTTTCGCCTTCGTGGGTGTATGCCGCGAGCAGAGCATTCAGATCTCTCTCCGGCATCTCGTGGAAGATCTCCTCGGCCTTCGCGGCATGCCCCGCCCGGGCCAATGCCGCGATCATCGCGTTCCAGGCGATGGAATCCCTCTCGGGCATTCGCAAGAAGAGCTCCTCCGCATCTTCGATTCGCCCCCTCTCGGCAAGCGCGCACGCCATGGCTGTCCACGACACAGGGCATCGACACAAACACGGCCTGCGCGCCATCGAGATCGTGCCGCGCGTAGGCGCGCATCATCAGCACCCACGAGAAGGCATCCTTGCAGGGCATGGCGTCGAAGATCGCTCGCGCCTCGCGCACGCTCCCGCAGCGCCCATACATCTCCAAAGGTGTCAGTGGCGGCGAGCTCCTGGAATGCGGCGTGGAGCTCCCGGGCCCTGGAGAGATCGTTGCAGCTCTGGCTCAAGCCCACGCATTGACCTCGATCGAGCATAGGATAGGAAGCGTGCTCGGATCATGACAAAGAAAACCACATCTTTCGAGGCATTGAAAGAAAGAAATCCCGTGATCCAATCGATTCAAAGAGAATATAATTGTTTAAGGAGAATGGAAGAACACACTCTTGTTATGGCTTCGTGACGGGAGGGGTCTTCGTTGGAGGCCCATACTCGTCGGCAAACCGGCTCTCCACCTTCTGGATGACAATTGAGAGTAGAATCAAAATCACAACTTGAAGAGCGTATTGCCAAACCCGTTGCATTGTGTTCGTGCATGATCTTTTCTCGTGTGCATGATCAAAACATATATACCAAACAGCAGCTTGACTAAAAGTCTCGTGTCCTACAAAGTCGTGCTTCACTTTTGACTGTTCGAACGAGGTCAAACTGGAGTTCATTTAGCAACTTCCATTGTGACAATTTTCACGTTTTAAAGGAGCCGATGCTTACAATGTGATCCTACGGCAAAGAACGATTCAAAGAGAATAACATGTTTTGGAGATAAAAAGAACAAGAACCAACACATAAAGCATTATTGTCATGGGCTCATCTTGGGAGGGGTTTGTAGATTTCGAATTAGATTCCTGGCTCTTGACCTTCTGAATGACAAATGAAAATGCTATAATCACGACAAGAGCGTATCGCTTCCAATGTTTGCTTGCATTATTCTTTCTTGTATGATCAAAACATGTATACAAGAGTAGAACAGCTTGCCTGGAAGTCTCTTGTTCTACAAATGCATGCTTCACTTTGATTTTTCTTCTGAGGTCAAACTGGAGTACATTCAGTGGCTTCCACTTTGTGACAGATTTCCTCGTATTTAAAGGAGCCCATGCTCACATTCAGATTAGAAATGGCTCCAATGGATATTTTCTGTCTTGGAATATCGCAGGGCCCTGCTTGTGTGGGGTTGTGATGGATTCGATTTAGATCTCATTGAATATTTATACGTATGATCATATGGCTTTTCCCCATAAAAATAAATTTCCAAAAGGGTAATTAATAAAGGGTGGTAATTAGTGATTCCTTTAGGGGCTTTCCCTATGGGGGTTTTTGTTGTAGGCGACAATGATCTACATTCCCCCATCTGCACACTATTGCAAGTGCCATTAGTAGTGTTGCCACATAAGTGTCTAGGGTGGAGTGGCAAGTCTGAGAGTTTGAGTTGAGAGCAGGGTAGTATAGCCACAGCTAAGGAGCAACTCAACTAGCCCAACATAGTTTTGCTATAGTTTTGTGAAGTGAGGGTTGAGAGCTTAGGTGCAATGAAAGGAGTACTGGAGTGAGGAGTGAGACAAGCAATAGAGAGTGAAGGCATAAGTAGTGAGCATTAGGAGAGTGCAAGCAAGTTAGTGAGTGTATATTTTTAGTATTGATGAATTTTCTTTTAAGTTAAGCTCCCTTGGAGTATAAAGTGTAGAGCTCACTGCAGTTCTTGTTCAAGATCTTGTGCACGATAATAAACTTTAATTTCTTATAAAACTAAATTGCAAAGGGATGTATTCTTTAAAGCATGACAATAATGGCAATGCAAAAATGCTAAAGAAAAAATCCTCCTACAATACATTCAAGTACTTTTGCTCTCTAATGTAGCTTTAATTAGCTCTTGCAAATGCACAAGAAACAACCAATTAACTTCAAAGTATCCCAAATGAAAAAGATGTTTGTAGAGGTAGTGAAGGACAACATAATAATATATAAGGTCAAGCTATCAACACCACTTTAGAATGGGTGAAAAAGGAAGAGGATGATAAAGATGTTAAGACTTTGGGTGGAGCTTACTTTTCTTCTCAAGAATTTTAAAATTTTCTAATTTATAATTAATTTATTTGCAATTTACAGATATATCACTCCTTGTCAACAAAAAACATATTGCATTTAAGTGTGATAAAGAAAAATATGCCACCTGAAGTATCTCTTTACTACACTCTACTAGCATACTTATAGTAATTTAAATAAAATGTAACTTATATTAATTTAATAAAATTTGCTTGGAAAAATAATTTTATTTACCCATGATGAGCTGCGTGAAACAACGAAACAAATCTTTGTAGATCCTCACCATGGGTGTATGCCGCGAACAGAGCATTCCAGGATGCCAGATCTCTCTCCGGCATCTCGTGGAAGATCTCCTCGGCCTTCGCGGCATGCCCCGCGGGCAAATGCCGCGATCATCGCGTTCCAGGCGATGGAATCCCTCTCGGGCATTTGCAAGAAGAGCTCCTCCGCATCCTCGATTCGCCCCCTCTCGGCAAGCGCGCACAGCATAGCTGTCCACGACACAAGATTCTTGCAGGGCATCGACATAAACACGGTTTGCGCGCTGTCGAGATCCCCGTGCCGAGCGTAGGCGCGCATCATCAGCACCCACGAGAAGGCATCCTTGCAGGGCATGGCGTCGAAGATTGCTCGCGCCTCGCGCCCATACATCTCGAAGATCTTGTTGGGCACGAAGGTGTCAGTGGCGACGGCCGTGGTGAGCTCCAGGAATGCGGCGTGGAGCTCCCGGGCCCTGGAGAGATCGTTGCAGCTCTGGATCAAGCCCACGCACTGAGCTCGATCGAGCATAGGATAGCAAGCGTGCTCTGATCATGACAAAGAAAACCTTCCCTCCCTGCGATTAGTAACAGAAATATATTACATGAAGTCGGGGTAGATAGATGATCCAAGATAATAACTTGTTGGGAAGAAGAAAATAAGAACAATTTTAGAGCCATTCATGTCACGGTCTCATTTCGGGAGGGGGCTTGATTGGAGGCCTCAAACCCGGATCAGGTTCGCAGTCAACCTTTTGGATGACAATAGCGAAGACAATGAAAATCACAACTTGAAGAGCGTATTGCCAAACCCATCGCATTGTGTTCTTGAAATGATTTTTCTTGTGTGCATACTCAAAACATATATACCAAACAGCAGCTTGACTAAAAATCTCGTGTCCTACAAAGTCGTGTTTCACTTTTGACTGTTCGAACGAGGTCAAACTGGAGTTCATTTAGCAGCTTCCAGGGCTCCCTTGTGAGAATTTTCACATTTTAAAGGACCCGATGCTCACAATGCGATCCTACGGCAAAGAACGATCCAAAGATCCAAAGCGAATAAAATTACTGTCATGGGCTCAGGGCCTAAAATTTCGAATTAGACTCCTGGCCCTCGACCTTATGAATGACAAATGAAAATACTATGAAAATCACAACAAGAGCATATCGCCAAACGGATTCCAATGCATGATTCTTTCAAACTCTATATATACAAACAAGCACTCAACGTCACGTGATCTACAAAGTCGTGGTTCACTCTGACTTTAATACTTTGCAGTCAAAAATTTCGAATGAGGTCAAACTGGAGTTCATCCAGCAGATTCCATTGTCACGTTTTGAAAGAGCCCATTCTCACAATCAGATTAGAAATGGCTCTGATGCAGATTGTCTCTCCCGGAACATCGCCATTTGCCGGCATTGCAAGGAGGGCCGGATCCAAATGGCTAAACAGCTCTTCGATGCAATGCCAGTCCAGAACCTGGTGGCAGCAACCGCGCTCCTGGATGCATATGCCCGTGTGGGGCATTTGGACTGCGCTCGGGGAATCGTCAGTCAAATGCCTGTGATGGATTCGGTGTCATCCATTACCATCATCACAGCGTACGCGAGATCAGGCAATTTCAAAGCAGCGGCAATGGGTTTTGAAGAAATGCCACACAAGGATATCGTTTCCTGGAACTGTTTGCTTGCTGCGCATGCCCTGGCAGGGCATTTGAAGGACGCTCTTAAGATTTTTTACGCGATGCCGCTGTGGAATCTAGTTTCCTGGACTTCAATGCTTGTTTGTCATGCACGAAACAATAATTTGGTCGAAGCTTGGAGTCTTTTCTGCTTGATGCCTGAGAGGGACTTCATTTGCTGGAGCTCCATGCTTTCTGCTTATGCCATCAATGGGCATATTCCTGAAGCCGAGAGCATCTGTTCCCAGATGCCCCTCACGAACTTGGTCTCGCAGACGGCTCTTCTTAGCATGTACGCGCAGTACGGAAATCTGGAGAAAGCAAAGAAAACGTTTGATACTATACCCGAGCACAACATTGTTTCGTGGACTTCGATGCTCTTGGCATATTCCCAACACGGGCATATTGACTTGGCCATTGGAATCTTTCACGCGATGCCAGAATCCAACCTTTTCTCTTGTAACTCGTTACTGTCGGCAGTTTCGTCCAGCGGCGACGTGGCAATGGCGAAACAAGTATTCGATGACATGCCTGAGTGGGACTTGGTATCTTACAATGCCCTTCTTGCGGCATATGCTCAGAACGGGCATATGATATTTGCTATTGGGATATTCTCTACCATGCCACAGAGGGATCTCGCTTCTTTTACTTGTGTGCTAGCAGCATACGCGGATGCTGGGAATCTACAAGAAGCTGAGCGGATCTTTACTAGAATGCCGATATGGGATGTTGTGGCGTGTGGTGCTATGTTGTCCGCATATGCCAGTTCGTGGCATCTGGAAGATACTAAACGCCTGTTTGAATCGATGTTGCAAAGGAATCTGGTTTCATGGACTACCATGATCACAGCGTATGCCCAGTATGGACATATTGAAGAATCTAAAAACATGTTTGATAGTATGCCGGAGAGGAATTTGGTGGCATGGAATGCCATGCTTGTAGCATATGCCCAGCTAGGGGACGCTGACATGTCACGCCACCTTTTCCAGCAGATGCCTCAACGGGATGTCATCTCTTGGAACTCCCTTCTCTTTGCGCATGCCAACACAGGGAACGTTCCATGCACTGAAAAGATGCTTGCTCGCCTTCCAGAAGAGAACCTCACGTCTTGGAATGCCTGGATATCGGCGCTGTGTCACAATGGCTACTCGACGAAGGCCTTGGATGCGTTTAGCAGGCTCCGGCTGTGCCATCTCCCCGACGGGACGAGCTTCGTTACAATGCTCATAGCGTGCAAGCACGAAGGCAAGCTACGTGCCGGGAGATCTTTCTTCGTTTCCATGGCAATGGACTATGGCTTGCAGTTCCAGAGGCAGCACTACTGCTGCATGGTCGATCTCCTGGCGAGGGGTGGCTACTTGGAGGACGCGGAGGACCTGATCGCCAACATGCCCTTTGTGCCCGAGCCCAGGGAGTGGCTATGCCTCCTCGGATCTTGCCGCTCGCACAGAGATGTAGATCGGGAAGCAAATGCCGCGGAGCATGCTTTTGCACTTGATCCAAACTGTGGAGCAAGTTACACACTGGTTGCCAACATTTTACAAGTCCCAAGCATAAAGTTACCAGTTGCGTCGTCAACTTTCTTACACTCCTCTTCGGCTAAGGAGGAGAGGCATGCCATGCTTCGGCGTTAGAGTAAGGCGCAGCACAGGGCTGTGCTGGTAACTTGGCGATATCTCGAAGCTAAACCTGTGAAGGATCATGGTCAGCGCAACCTTGGCCTCCATGAGAGCGAATCCTTGGCCGAGGCAAACCCGGGGGCCGTGAGAGAAGGGGAGAAAGGCAAACGGGTGCTTGGAGGCGTTGGCCACACCGTCAGCGAAGCGCTGTGGATTGAACTCGTTGGCATCTTCGCCCCACACTTCCTTGTCGTGGAGGATAGAGAGTATCGGCACGAGAACGCCGGTTCCCTCTGGAACCATCAAGTTTCCCAGCTTCGTGTCCTCCATGGCCGTGCGGACCAAGAACACGGCCGGTGGATACAGCCGCAGTGTCTCGTTGAGCACCATTCCCACCTGGAAGAAAATGAGAACAATGAGAAACGAGAGGAGGAAATCTAGATCTTGCTCACGATCTTTAGCTTGCTGGCTGCTTCTGAATCCGGGACGCCAGACTTACAAACCTCCAGCACCTCAGCTCGAGCACGCTCTTGCCAAGTCGGGTTTGTGGCGAGCAGCATCATCGCCCAGGTTATCAGCTTGGCTGTGGTTTCATGGCCAGCGACGTAAAAGGTCTTGCATTCCTCTATCAGGCTCTCGCTCGTGAATGCCAGCTCTGGCTTGATCCCGCTGCCGCTGAAGCTGCGGCTCGAGTCCACTTCGTCGAGCATCAAACCGAGAAGATCGCTGCCATAGTTGCTGCTAGCACCCGAGTCTTTGAGCTGCTGTCGCGCATGGACGATCTCGAGCAGCAGATTGTCCACCTTTTTCTGTCCGTTTCTTATGGCTCGGTTAAGCTCGCTGAAAGGATTCATGCTGCATACAAAACCTCCCAGCGATCAAATGGGAACAAAACCATGAACGGGAATACCTCTCAATCCATGGCTTGGAGAATCTCTGTAGGATAATCGCGGTCAGCTCTTGAACGAGCTCCAGAACGCGACGGCCATGCGCATGGCCGCTTCCAAATGCTGTCCGAGATATCACGTCCGCAGTCAGCTCAGTGATGGGCTCGCTTACCTCCACTTCTACGCCACTGCTATCTCGCGTTAGAGCAAGCCATTTGTCCAGCATCTCGGATACGCAATCCACCATAGTCCCGACCATTCCCTGCGAAGAAAGAAGAAGAGGCGAAGGTCGAGAGAAGCTCGAGAAGAGAGACGTTTGGCCACCACCTTTATCTTCTCCTGGTAGAAGGCGGGCGACATGATATGGCGGCGAAAGGCCCACTCGTCTCCATTCACAACGACGAGGCCTCTGCCAATGACTTGCATGAGGAACTTCTGCTGGATGGAGGAGCGCCAAAACACCCCGGATTTGTTGTAGAGCACGTCCTTGACCATGTCCAGGTCCGTGAGAACGATGCGAGGCTCGTAGCCCCACCACATCATCATCGGAGACCCTGGTGATGATCGAAAGACAAACAATCAAAGATTAACAGAGAAACACTTCCAAGACAAACAAAGAGCCAGCGAATTTTCGAAAGAAAGAAGAAACGCAAGGAAACACCTCATCCCTGGCGATGATCGACAAAAAAAAAAAACAATCAAAAAGTGCCAGAGACACAAAGGAGGAAATCCTCCAAGAGCAACAAAACAAACAAGTAGCGACTTTTCTCGAGAAAGAAAGAAGAGCAAAGGAACATACCATAGATTTTTTCCCAGTGTAGCGAGTGAGGCTGGGCGTAGCCAACGATGTCGTGAGAGATGCCCTCCATGCAGCGCTCCTCGGCGGCGGCCCGCATTTCCATCATCTCGCGGATGTTCCCGCGGAGGATGGACCGCGGAGGCCCTCCAATCCCCTGGCGGCGCAGCTTGGCCTCTAGAATCCATGGCCTCGCTACATAGTCTCTCACAAACCCAACCCAAGCGCCCCACGCAAGCAGCGGGAGGAGCAGCAGCGCCGCGAGGAGCAGCAGCGCCATGGCATCAAATGGAGGAAACCCCCATGAAGAAGCAGCAAAAAAGATTGGATCGATGCTCGCGCGCTCTGGATCTAGGTAGTCAACCCGCAAAACGCCATAAAGGAGGCGAGAAATGGGGGCCCAAAACACATGACCCACGTACGTATCGCGGCAGCCGTAGCGCATGGAGATTTTGCTGGCGAGTCACGAGCTTTGGACTCCCCAATCTGTCAAAGCTGGGAGAGAGGAGAGATTAGATGACCAAAGCTCTGGAGAACGAGGGCGATGATTCTCATTGTTGATACTGTGCTACAAATATTTGAAGCGAGACTTGCTAGGACTTTGCTGAAACTCTCGAAGCTTAGGAAGAGTTATGATGAGGGATCATATTTTCTCCATGACGAGAGGAAGACCGTGGCAAGGTCTGAGCGTAACTTTGACCACCGGGCAGTGGCGATACGATGGCGACAACCGAAACCGGAAGCGCTGGAGAATGGTGGCCAAGGCGATCTTGGCTTCCACGAGTGAAAAGGACTGGCCGACGCACACGCGGGGCCCGAGCGAGAAGGCCAGGAGCGCGTTCGGATGCTTGGACGCCTTGGCAACGCCATCCTTGAAACGCTCCGGATTGAACTCTTGGGCGTCCTCTCCCCAGAGCTCCTTGTCGTGGTGGATGGCGAGGATTGGAAAGGAGATCCCCGCTCCCTTTGGGACGAGGATAACTCCCAGTATGGTGTCCTCGAAGCACGATCGCATCATTGACACCACCGGTGGATACAGGCGGAGAGTTTCGTGGAGGATCATGTTGATCTAGCCATGAGAAAGAAAGCTTGAGCTCGTCAAACTCGAAAGTAACGTAAAACCTTTACCAGCTTGAGCTTGCTGATTGAATCGGCATCTGGAGTGGCACCTTCGCAGACTTCCTGGGCCTCGGCGCGAGCGCGCTCCTGCCATTCCGGGTGCAAAGCAAGCAGCATTATGGACCAGGTGAGCAGAATTGCCGTCGTCTCGTGGCCAGCAAAGTAGAAAGTCTTGCACTCCTCCATCACGGCCCGATCGTCGAAAGAAGAGTTTCCACACTCGGCAAGCATCAACCCCAGCAAGTCATGACTCTGGCCACTCTGAGCTCGCCGCTCCTTGATCAGGCCAAGCAGCAGCGAGTCGAGGTCGCTGTAGAGCTTTCTCAATCGAAAGTTTGCTGGAAACGGAAGGAATCTGCGGTCAGAAAATCGTGTTATAGTACGTAAACGAAAGAGATTTGATCACCTTTTGCCTGGTACATAGTTGTATCGATCGACCTTGGAAAGCTCCTCTTGGATTGCTCTCAAGGTTTCGAAGACCTTCTGGCCTTTGAGATAGCTGCTTCCGAATGCCGTGTGGGAGATAATGTCTGCGGTTAGCTTTGAGAATTCACTGCTCATTTCAATCTCGGGCTGCTCGCGGAGCGCTTCTTCCCACCTGTCTAGCATCTCGAGCGCGCACAGTCCGATACGGGGCACCATTTTCTGGTTTGTATGAAGTGATCAAAGTTGATATGACGAAGGAAAGAAAGAGAAATGCAACCTTGAGCTTCTCTAGGTAGAAAGCTGGAGCCACAACACGTCGATGGTGGCTCCACTCGTCACCATTCACGGCAATGAGCCCTCTGCCGATTATGGATGCGATTGCAGAAACCATCATGTCCGATTTCTCAAACTGAGTAACTTTCTTGGCAAGAACTTCTCTGATGAGCTCGGGCTCCGTGACCATGATCCTCGGCTCTGTCGCCCACCAGTAGAAATACATCTTTCCTGGGAAGAAATCCTCCAGAGTCTAACTCAACTTACGATAGAAACGAGAAGAGAGACTAACCGTATTCCTTGGACCACTGGTGGTAATCCAGCAACACATGCTCCACAATGTCGTGATTCAAGCCTGCCATGTCCCGCTCCTTGGGAGTGTCTCTCATCTTCATCACCTGGAGCATATTCCCGGCCAAGAAAGTCCTTGGCGGCCCCTGGATACCCTGGCTTCGAATCCTTGTGTCGAGCGATCTTGGCTCCAGCCAATACCTGGTGACAATTGATCGCCATAGCTTCGCAACCAGTGCTAGCAACACGAGCAGCGCGCCCGTCCACACTGCCTTGCCAATGCCCTCCATTTCTCACAACAAACAAGTGACCCAATATCAAAATTATCGAAGTTCCCGACAAGCAGGTCACCACGTTCGAGAACGTGAGCACGACTAAACTTTGCGGCAGAAACTTTAACGGTTGCTGCGGAGTAGCTTTCACTGATTGGGACGATTTGAAGACCGCATTTTAAATGCTTTTTGCCATACAGGATTCCTTCAATGAGTGAGTGATGAGCTCAGTATGAATACCTTGCTGCCAGGAGAAACTATTTGCAATGAGATTTTGGTGACTCCAGGATCTAAAATTTGCAGAAGATGATCAAGTTCATTATTTTTGGCAAGGTTTACCAAAGAGTGCATCCTTCTATGTGTGACATCATGAACCAGCTAATCTTGACACAACAATCACTTTGGCATCACGGTTTGAGCAGGCCAAATTGCCAAGTCATTTTGAACATATTCAAGCATTATCAATCTTTGGAGGAATGGCTACACAGTTAGTAGGCTTGCTAAATCATACAAATTTAGGAGTCTATCCAGGCAGAGTATCTGGAATTTTGAATCTAGCAAGTGTGATAGCTCCAACTTTGATCTCAACAGTGGCTCCAATGGCTCTTATGGAATTTCAGGTTCCAGTTCCATCACTAGAGGTGTAGATGAACAAAGTTAAAGAAGATTTAGTCGAGGCTCTTACAAAGAAGATGGGGGACTTACAAGTTAATTGGATCAAGGGTGTTCAGAATCCTCCCCAGCCAGGGCGTGATCGCTCAAATGTTTGGTGCATGAAATCACTCAAATATCTAGTGGCTCCAAGTTATCATGTTCAAATGCAAAGTCTATCACCATATTGGCCACAAGTTCCATACCAAGAGAATACAACACAACAGTATGCATCCACAAGTGTTCCAGTGTATGCTGTAGGAGTTGGAGTGCAAGAGTAGAAAGGGATGGGATGTCGAAGAGGCTGTGGCAGAGGTCCTCAATGCTATAGATGCTAGGAGTTTAGTTATATTCAAGCAGATTGTCCAAATGTAAAGAAGCCAAAGTTTACCAGCCAATGCGAGTGTGCGAGACTCAAGGCCTCCATCCTCAAGATCAGTGTCCTTACAAGTTGAAGCAGGATTGTGGCAAGCAAGTAGTCGATTCGCGATCTGTGTTTGTTCAAGAAGCAGACCTAGACCAGACTCATTATAAGCTAGACACAAGTTGTGGTTGTGGAAAAAAAGATGTGCTTACCTAGATGGTGCAAACTCGCAGCCAGTGGCATGATCAAAATGAGGAGGTTTTTGGAGATCCTGAAGAAGAGAGTGATCTTGAGCGCATTGCAAGAAGGTAGAGGTGTGAGGCCAAGGGAAAAAGAGCCACAGACATTTTAGGTCCAGCCCTATTTACTTC